ATAACTGTATGCAGCTCATGGATCGCAGGTGGAAATAGTGAGGTGGTATCTCTGAGTGGGTTTCACAAAATTTTCTCTATGTGAGTGTTTTCCTTTTTTGGAGCATCTCACAGACAGCATATACTCTCGGCGGGCTCTTTTGGTACCGGGAACTTTGGTGTCTTTTTTTTCACAACTCTTGCAACGCAATCCCGAAGGCCACCCTGGGCTGAAAAGGCCACCCGATGTCAGATTAGACACAATATTGAATTTACCTGGGCTGGTTAGTCCGATGATAATACCTCATGGCCATGGCCCTAAAAAAAAAAAAAAAGGTCCTGAATGTCCTGGTGTGAGTATGGGCTTAGTAAAAGATGAAGTTAAAAAAAAAAGTGTCCTTGACTCCTTGTGGAATTGTGGATTATGGTTCTACTACTATTTAGCAAGTGAGTGGGGCCTCAGCCCAGGAGGGACTGACTTCCAAATCTTTTTCAAGGAAGAGGAGAATGTAGCTCATAGAGAAACATGAGGTAAAAAAAAAAAAACAAAAAAAGAAAAAAAAAAAAAAAAAAAGAGGTCAGGCAAAAATTTTAAAATCATCGTCAAAGCATCAAAGCATCAAAGCATTTGTTTAAATTGTTTCTATATTTGGACGTTTGCAGGTTTTCACATTTCTGTATTCTCAAATTCCTATGTTTTCACATTTCTGTATTCAGACCCTGAGACTGGGGGAAAATTCTCAGAATGCTCTCCCTCCAAGGAAAATTGGACAAGAGAATTTTCCACTGTTCATTTCATAAATGAATGGCCCATTCAAACCAGTGGGGAGCAGTCCCACCAGCAAACGTGATCGGAATCAACGGCGGAATCTGAACGTGTTCGTCGAAAGATGACGAAAATCACGATTTATCTGCTTTGCTGCATCTCTGTGTACAAGCACATCCATCCATGTTCAGGCGAATCTTCTTTGCCAGTGCAACTCTGGCCCTGGAAATGCACGTAAGTCGTGCCTCAAAAAAAATTTCTTCTGCAAAATAGTTGCCACAACATTATGCCTTTCATATTTGTCGGCACTTAACGTTGAAGAGTTTCCTAAGACGACCAATGCATAGCATTTGCATACACATGGGAGGAGGGGGAGGAGGAGGAGGAGGGGGGGAGGAGTTGGATGAGGTAGGAGGAGGGGGAGGGGGAGGAACGGGTTCAGATGCGGGGACATGGGGAGGAGGGGGGGGAGCAGAAGGGCCAGGGTCACGACGGGCATGGGGAAATCCCTGAGTGCCTCCAACAGCAGAAGAGGGTGCGAACGAGCTTAGTTTCTCCACCAATTCCATCATACGCCGAATGAGCCCGAATTGGTGGTCCTGGCTCCTTTGGACGTTGTCAATCTCCATGAGCAGCAGTCCAGCATCGAGTGGCAAAGGCAGGGAGCCGCCTTGGCGAGCAGGCTCTGAGATTCTAGGCTTCCCCTGGTTAGGAAGAGTCGGAGGTGATCCTTCGATCTCGTGTTGAGATCGTTTGCGACAATCGCCTTCATCTTCCAAAGCTTCCTTGCCCTTGCGACTGCGGGAGGGCTCGCTGACAACCCTTTCGATCTCGTGCCAAATCTTCTTG